AGGGCTGCTGGCTGCACCGAGCCTCAGCAGAGCACGTGGGCTGCTCGTTGCCGTAAATCCATTGCCTAACCGCCAGCGATCTTGACGGAAACGGATGACAGCAGGTCCTGGGTTTGGTGTTTAATGCTCCGATAGGACTTGCTGGAGCCTACTGGAGATTAAAACCCAAACGAGCAGGTGTTCAGGAAAAAAACCCAAAACCATCAGATAAAGGGGAATTGTGATTCCCTTCCAGCTTGTCTTGTGTTGCGACGGCCAGTGCCATGACACAGTGGTACTCGTGCAAGCCACGACACAGCCTGGCATCGGTGCTGCGCATTGAGAACCGCTCCCGGCGTTTCTGGTGAAATCGTTCCTGGTGACGCCGGGAAGCAGCAAACCTGAAACGCACCTTGCCCAGCCGTGCCGGAGGAACAGGGGTAACGTGGACGAGGGATGTCAGCGCAGTGACTTTGCCTGCTTTATAAAGTCCTGGGGAAATGGATTCAGACCCTCATTTGTACTCACAGACGATGGCCGTTGCCCACCACGTCCCTGCCTGCCTCCAGGGGGAATACGGGATCCCGGGAAGCAGCTCAACGCCTGCACCTTCCACTTGAGATCCCAGCTCCGATCTCTTTCCAAACACTGAGCCGGAGACATCCAGCCACCACAAACTCTTGGCACAACCGGCGACGTGGTTGAGCGTTTGTGGGCTGCCCTGACCCAGAGAGACAGATAACATCTGCCCATCGCTTCCAGACAGACGCTGGCCCTCTTTGCAAGACGCCACAAGGGCAGGAGGGAAAGCCACGGCCGACACCGAGGGTAGCACTGAGGTTACCGAGCACACGAGGATACAGCCAGCCAGGGCAGGATACAACCCTGCAACCCCAGGCAAAACCAGGGGCTTGGACGTGCTGGAGGATGACGTGGAGCAGCACAAAGACAGACTCGCTCAGTCAGGTGAGGAAAAAAGCAGCCAAATATAAAGCAAAAATGAAGTTTAGGAAACATCAGGCATGAAACGTGTTCTCTGGATGGAGTTTGAGTGCTTCATTGAAGCTTGAATGATGGATGCTTCTGCTTGCTCCGGTTGGAGCCGGGAACACCATCCACCCTGGGGGGTGCAAAAAGCTTCATGGTTGTTCCCCCCATGCTGGGACAGCCTGCCTGGCATGGCCGTCATGGTGGGGTGGCATTTGGGATCTTGCTGGGACAGTGGTGACAGTCAGAAGCCAAGCTGGTGTCCCCTGGTTGGCAAGAAGGCTGCGGAAACACCTCTCGCAGGGGCAGCTTTGGGGCGATTCACGGCTAGAGGAGGGTCAAGCAGCAAAAGCAGCAGTGTGGTACGCTGTGGGGATAAGGAGCACGCGTCAAGGTCAGGAATCATCCCCTGAGCAGCCCTGCAGGGTGTTGTGACCCCACTTAACTGCCGGGAATGCCCAGGATCGCTCTGCACCAATTCACACAGTAAAAACTGGTGAAATTAAAAATTAAAAAAAAATAATTAAAAAACCAAACCAAAACCCAGACACTGCCTTTCAAGCCGGGGAGCGAAGCCTAATTCATCCCTGCTGCTTCTCCCAAAACCACACCTTTCAGCCCCGCTGACCTGCCCCAGACTCCAGCGGTGACCGTCCTGAGACACCTTTGTCATCGGAAGACGCAGCATTTCTAAAGACGGCAAAATCCCTGCCGGTGTAATCAGCAGCGGAGCCGACGGGGACAGGGATGGGACAAGGGACGGCACAGAGACAAAAACCAAATTGCACAACAGGAACTCAAACATTGCGATGGCTGGAGCCGGGGTGATGGGATGCTACGGGCGGACTGGACGGCGTGCATTTCCAGCTCATGGGTTTGCATGGAAACCAGAGAGGAGGAAAACTTTGCAGCAACAGGCAAGCAGCAGCAATTTAAATCACAGGTCCTGGACCTGGGCCAGAGCAAATCAGAGCAGCAACAGCAGCTGCAGGGCCCCTGGCTACTGCTCTCCCCCCGCCAAGGAGGTCGCGTCCCTCTGACACAGCTGAGACACGACTAACCAAGGCGATCCTTGTACAGATTTCGGATGCTCAGAGCCTGCCGGCTTCCAAACCTGCTCTAATTACAGAGGACGTTGGATGTTTATAGCAAGTGCTTCGAGCCCACGGGGAGCGGAGACACTTCCCGGCCAGCCTGCAAATGCCGGCCACCGCCAAGTGACGTTTTCCCGGCTGGCCATGACTCTTCCCTCCCTCTCGTGCTCCTGCTTCGCCTCTCGGCCAGTCTCCGGCATCAGCGCGGGTCCCAAGGGCTGGTGTTGCACAATGCTGCCGTGCAGCAGCTCCCGGGCTGGGGAATAACACATTCCACGTTTGGGGCAGCAGGGACTTTTTTTTTTTTGCTTTAAGTATCACCGCCTATTCGGGGAAACGGAGGAGGGCTGGAAAGGTCACCTCCCTCCTTGCTCACCCCTGTCCCACCCTAAACAACCGTAACCCCGCCGGCTCATGGTCCCTGCTCCCCCAAGCATCTCCATTCCTCTCCTGACCCATTTGGGAAATTCCCCTCTCTCCACACAATCTCCTCCCAGTTTCTGCTCCTCTCCCTGGCTCTGAGATGATGGTTTGGGGTTTTTTTTGGTTTTCTTTTCTCCTCCCCTTTGGGGATTTTCAGCACTGAGATCACAAATCGAGCCTCGTGGTGAGGATGCTGAGCATCAGCTGCTCGTGACTACAACCAGATGCCGGCAAGCCTTTTCCTAGGAAAAGCAGAGAGAAGGTCCATGGGGTGCTGACCCCAGGCAAACTATAGACCTTGCTGCAGCACTGGGGAGGGGGATTAGCTGCAACCACCTTCCCCGCTGTCCAAGGACCCGGCTACAGAGGGACAAACCACCCCAGGACACGGCTGAGGACCCTCCCAAGGAGATTCACTGATTCCCAGCTGACTGGCACCATGACAAGCACACACACACAAAAATTCTCCAGCAGCAAATAAGGTGGTGGGGAGAGGATCAATTCAATGCCGTGAGACTGCTGCAGCTCCAGGGAGCCCGTGGGTTCCTCTGGCCGCTCGATTTGGTGATGCATAATTTATCTTCCTGCTTTGCAGGAAGATCTTTAGACCGTGTAGGACAGACAACCTGTCCTCCATCCCTGCGTGAATATGCTGTGAACACTGCAGAGCTTTTAAAGGTTGGAGGAGAAGGGGCAGAGACACTAAGCAAGGTGAATCACCCAAAGTTTACGGGCGGCTGCAGAGCCCAGGTCCATCAAACACCCCGTGCTTTGGCCACCACGGCCCCAAGGGACGGACGTCCCTTCCTGAGCTCCAGGCAGTTGGCAAAAGGCAATTTTTCAGGGCAGGAGAAGTAACTTCAGCATTTTCTTGCTACCCCAACCAGCGCCAAAGCAGGCAGGATAGTCCAGCAACAGACTCTTTGCCCCACTTTAAAGTACGTTTGTGCTAAGCATCATCCTAGGAGAAACCAGCAGCAAGCGGACCGGGCAGCCGGAGGCATCGCTGGGCTGGAGACCTGCCCTCCTCGGAGCCATCCGAAGGGAAATTGCTTCTGAGAGCAGTGAAAGGAGCATTCCCAAACACGACGGCTCAGGCTACGAGGTGGATTTCTCCTCCGTCGATCGCCTGCCCTGCAGCCCCGTAAGCTTGCCCTGCGCTTTACCCTGCGCAGATAAGACAGGCAGAAAACCACAAATATTTGCTAACGTTGGCTGTGGACAGCTTGGGGTGAACCCAGGCGTTGCGGCAGGGCTATAAATCCTGCTCCAGCCTTATGGCCGTAACCTCAGCTGCCCTCCAGCTTCCATCTCCTCCCCTCCCCGGTCCCTCCTCAGGGGACAGTGGTCACCCCAATGCTGTCCCCAGCTCCCCGGGGAGCATCAGTTGCTCAGGGCTTTTGCTCTGTATGAATTTGAACACCCACGATCCCTTCACTTTGCTGTGCCTCCCCAACAAGCACTGGCTCCTCCAGCCCATCACCGCAGTGTCTGGTCCACAGGTTCGGCTACACCCAAACTTGGACCGTGTGCCAAAAAAGGGATCCTTGGCACAGCCACACCGCCACAGATCTCAGCCCTGCGTGGTTTGGGCTGGAGGTGATGTCTAAAAACATCCAGGCCATCCGACGACCCCACGCTTTGGGGATGGAGAAGGGCCTGGCCGCAGCAGACCCCAAATTAATGCAGGCACAAGGTCTGCCCTCTTCCTCCTCCTCTTTATCCCCATCTCCCACTCTCATTTCTGCTTCGAACTCAGACCCCAGCAGCAGCAAGGGTCAAACTGGCCCAGCCTTGCCCCTGAGGCTCCTCGTCGCCTTCAACGACAGCCTGGGGAAGACATTAAACCCCCCTCAAGGGTTTCAAGATCCCTGATTCAGCCTAAAAATAACCGCAGCACACCTCGTTCCCCTTCATTTAACCAGCAGCAAAGTCCACGGGAAGGCTATTTTTAGTCTCCTTAGGTTAGGTTTTTCGTTAATTCAGTACCAGTTTGCTAATGGGGTCGCTCACAAGTTAATGCCTGGGGAGAGCACACGAATCCCTGGGACCTGGCCCCGGCTGGGGTACCAACACCCCCCTGCACTGCTGCTGCTGAATTTTCCGGCCTTTCCTGGGTAATTAACCAGTGTAAGTCAACACATTTCCCTCGTTAGCAACAGCTACACCAAATAGACCGCACTAACTAGCTACCATGGGCTCACCCGTCCTCATGCTCACCCAAAACATGGGTACCTATGGTGTATTAAATGGTCTTTTTCTCTCTCTTTACAGGACACGGCTGCTAGTTTAAAAGAATAAGATCCAGTGATCTTCTCTTCATCAGGGATCGGCTTGATCTTTGGGATAATTGGAAATTTAGGCTTTTTTTTTCCCTGCAAACACCTACAAGTTCTGCTTTTCCAGAGGACCCAGGTGCTTTGGTGGCACACTGTGACATCGGACACTGTTTGCTCTCTGCTCACCACGTAAGGAAACGAGCACCGCTTCCATTTTCCAAATTTTCACGTCCATCAATCATTCGACGTGACGTCCTGTTTGCAACGTCTCCTAGCAGAAGGCTGTTATTTTGGTTTGAACGCTACGCGAACACCAGCCTCCTCCTGAAGACTTAGGACGTGGAAAGCATGTGTATGTAGGAGGACGTGTGTCAAAGGGATTTTATTTTTAAAAACTACTTATCTATAAATATAGTTGAAGAAAATAAATATTTGGACAAAATTAGTGTGTTTGGATTGGGTTAAAAACTACTTCACTTCCCTCTGCTGTTTACTTAAGTCTCTGGTGTGCATGAGGCTGGACGGACGGAGCCACATTGCAAGAACAAGGGTGTCCCCCCTCAAAAAAAAAAAAAGCAAAATGCAGGTCAGTTCTACGTTAATGGAAATGACTGTCGCTGTGGGGAAGCTCATTCAGCTCTCCCTGGGTGGATGCAGCGAGGAGCATGCAAAAACACGTTGGAGAGGATGATGACTCTGCACAGGCAGGACAGGAGTGAGTTCAGTCAGTGTAACCGGGAGTTAATCAGAAACAGCCCCGGATGCTCTCGTTAAGCTGATGCCCCCCAAGAGTCAGCAAAGGTGATTTGGCTCTGATAAGAGCAACTCCCCAGATCACTAACCACCACAGGAATAGCCTCCAATCATTACCCGCCACATCTCCTGCCCTTTGCATCCTCTTCAAATCCTTGTACGGCTTTCAGGTTTTACGCTCGCGTGCCTGCCTTCTGCACCGCACGTTAATTGAGAAGGAAAAGGACATCACGGCACGAAGCTGGGCCGTTTCTACATACTCACATTCTTTCATCATGCCGATGTCCACACAGCGCTTCAGTCGACACGCCTGGCAGTGCCGCCGGTTATCCTTGGTGATTTTGCAGTCACCATTGAACGGGCACGTGAACATCGCTTTCCTCTTCATGCTTCTCCTGGAGAAGAACAGAAAAAAAAAACCCACATCTTGGGTCAAATCAACACAGTTTTGACTGTGCAAGAGGCTGCTCCAAACATCAGGAGGAGATGGAAGTGCAAGTCCAGCTCTCTGGACAGCAAACTGCTGGAGAGAGATTGCTAAGAGGATACTGGAAGCATCTCTGACCTGACTCTGTTCAGCTCAGCTTGTTGCTTGAGAAGATTGATTTGGAGAGGCTGTGCCTGGCTGGGAACATCTACGGGTTTGATCTTAGAGGTTCAGGCATTGTTGGACAGCACGGAAAAGGAGAACTTCTTACAAGGACACAGCTGAGGGGTTCAACCACAGGTTAAGCAGCTTTCTGGGTTTGAACAGGTATTTCGAAGGCCAAAAGAAGGGTGGAAGGATTGTAGAGAAACCCCCACCAAGAGCAAAAGAAACCAGAGTGGAGGCTGGTCTGTACCAAAGCAGCCCGTGTTATTAAACATTTACCAGCCTTTAAAGCCTGGCTTTGCTAGAATAACTGGCTGGAGTACATGTTTGTGTGTGCAGGAGAAAGAAATCTCACTGCAGGATACAAGAGAAACAACACTTAACATAATAACCCTCTCTTCCACCAAAACCACACCGTGCCATGTAAATCCGCTGCTGCAATCGGGACTGTAAATCTTCCAAGTACAAAGGGTCAAAGCCAGAGCTCCCAGCGAAAACTCGCCTTTCTGCGGGGCCGTCCTGCGCGATATCCACTAATGGCACATTGCAGGCATAGCTGAGCTGCTCCATTAAGGGCAGTTTCTCCTCCGCGTTCGGAGATGCCCCATCTTTGCTTTGAAGAAAGTTACCCAACGATCTGCCATCAGCAAGCGAAGCTTATCTCTGGATTTACAAGTATTTCTAAAGGTGCTGCTCGCTTTAAATGAAGAGGTGATTTTGAATGAAGGTAAACCAAGCCCAGGGCACCTCTAGGCTGGAAAAATCAGAGCGAGGATGTTTGGAGGGGTAAATGCAGCAGAGAAACAGAGCTGAGATGCAATTCGGGTACAACAAGTGAGAAATCTGCCGTCAAGTTAATGCTGTATTTCAGCACCGGGATCAAGAGCCTCCTGCTAGAAAGAGTTGCTCTTCTAGCAATAAAATCCCCCCGCGATGCCGAACCGATGGTGCACAACCCCGTGCTCCACAGGCAAACGCTGTGGACGTACCAAACGGGTGAGTGCAGGCTGAGAGGGCGATGGCAGAGGGGCCCCTCCAGCCCAGGAACAGCGCCAAGCCTGAGCTTATAGGGTATAAATATAAAATATGTTCTCGGGCTGCAGACCCGAGCAGCACGTAGCATGCAATTAGAGGCTATTTTAGAAAGGGAGATGTAAACAAAGAGGCTTTACTCTCCCTTCACCTAACATGTATAAATGTATTTAGGAAAATTAATACAGAAGAGGTGGAAGCGGATGGTAGAGCTCTCCATAACCTGTCTTGCACTAAGAAATTCCTGTTTCACCCAGCAGCTGGCTCTCAGTTTATCGCTTTTCTCTGGGTTTTCCCCTTCCGAGACCAGCAGGACCTTTGCTCCCCTAGGAAGGGGGACAAACGTTGCTTAGCTCAAGAGTAAATCAGGATTTTGAGCTGAACATGCCAAAATCTCCCAGTTTCGGTGAGTGACTCTGGTTTTGAGCATCTGGGGCAGGCAGGCAGCTCATCTTTTGCCCCGCAGCCTGGGGCAAAGCTAGGGAATGCACAAACAAGCCAGAGAAACACGAGGCCCTCGAGCAGGGAAAGATGTCCTGTGTGCAAGGGCAAGCCAACATTATGGCTTTGGTATGAAAATTGCAGTTTATTCGAATACAGGGTGGCTGGGTACAATAGCCACTTTGCTGCCCCAAGGGTCCACGGCTCTCGGCTACGAGAGGCCCCAAGTTACACCAGCAGTGCAGAGGAGCAGCAAGCCAGAGAAACACGAGGCCCTCGAGCAGGGAAAGATGTCCTGTGTGCAAGGGCAAGCCAACATTATGGCTTTGGTATGAAAATTGCAGTTTATTCGAATACAGGGTGGCTGGGTACAATAGCCACTTTGCTGCCCCAAGGGTCCACGGCTCTCGGCTACGAGAGGCCCCAAGTTACACCAGCAGTGCAGAGGAGCAGCCGTCTGACCCACACTGGGAACTCACGCCGTCTGGCTCCGGTGTATTTTTATAAAGCTCCAGAACTAGCCGTTTCAAGGCTCATTTAAGATCTCTGTCCCAGGCACGCTGCCGAATGTTAAAAATAATGAGATGTCTCCCTGCAGAAACCCAGCCCGTGGGTGAAAGTAAACACGGCCACGGCCAGCGGCAAGGGAAGGTGGGGTTCACCGAGCGGGGAGCGATGTGCTTTGAGGTCAGGGTGGTCGTACCTGGTGATGGCAGGGGACGTAGGGACAGCGTTCCCACACGTGCTCTCCAACATAACCACTCGCTGCGTGCAAACCCAGCATTGCAAAGGACAGGCTGCTGCGCACGGAGGGGTAACGTCCATCGCTCACCGGTGCTTGCGGGGTACCCATCTCGTGGGAGCAGAGAGACCCCATCTGGCTTTATCTTGCCCAACAGATTTGGAGAGCACTCCAGCCCCAGGGAGGACTGCGATTTGCCAAACTCCAGCTCTTCAAGCCAGGAAACCTGATCATTAACCACCCCCCCGACAGCAACAGTTGAGCTCCGTTCTTGGGTTTTGGTAGACATATGCCCAACGGTCCTACCTAGCACGCCGAGGAGAAAGCAAACCCGAGGGCCTCTATGAAACAGCTTTTAGGTTATCAGAAATGTGAAGTTACGTAAAAACCAGGTGGTGAATAGCAGCCCTACAGCCCTCATCAGAGGGCAAAGCCCGGACCAGACCTGCATCACGTGGCAGGTATTAGTGGTGTGCTCGATCCTTGCCCTTTACCAGATATGACTGATCTTCAAAGCAACTCTTTCTGAATTTTTATTAGCAAAATGGGCTTTCGATACACACAACTCACATTCGCAGAGCCTGTGAAATGCTGTTTCCTGAAAGCTACCCTACTCATAACCAAACCCCGCAGAGACCTTCCTGGCACCTCCTTTTTCCATCACCCACCACAGAGCTAACACACAAGGAGTCATTTTGGCACCGAGGCTGCAGCAGAACCACCTCGCACAGCCATCGCAAATCGTTTGGGGTAGGATAATCCCCTATTTCTCCCCCGTTACACCTACACAACCACCCAGGGAAGCCCCTTGGTACATCAACAGCCAAGTCAAGGCCAGGACCAGACTAGCACCCATTCTGCATCCGTTTGCATTCTCTCCTCCAAATCCTGCCAGGTCCATCCCCCATTTCTGATCCCAGGAACACTCCAGACCACTGCACCTTGCCCTGAAATATCTTGAGAGACCCCTGGAGAAGCAGGAAAAAGGGATGGATTTATTTTAAAACTTCCATATAGAACATGGCAAAGAACTGGGGGAGGATTACAGGAATGGGAGATACAGTGATGCAGAGAGGATGGGTGGGGACCGGAGAGGTTTTGAAATATCCAGAGCCTTTCCAAGCAGCTCTGCTATTAACGCCCAGTGTCATTGGACTGGGGGAAAAAAACTAGGACTGCAGAAGAAAGCAGAGAAACCATGGATGCTTCACCCAAGTCACAGCAGAATAAATCACTCTGCCTTAGTTGCTTTTTAAGAGTTCCTGAGTAAACAGCGGAGCTCAATAAAAGGCTGCTGTTGCCGTTGGCATCATTAGTAAACAGTGGACTTTGAAGCCAGCGGCCAAAGGTTGCCTCACGTCTGTTTGTGCTGCAGGTTACGTGCACGTCTGAGCACCTTGAGGTGCCAATAAATTTTGTTTATAGAGTCGTTAAACCCAGGACCTCCTGGAGGACTTCACACCAGGGAATTGTGTCACACAGGTACGTCCCCAAGGCAGGTGAGATCCACCAGAAGGTCCTCCAGCACCTCGGCTCTCACCTCAGTGAGCCAAGGCTCAGGCTGCATTTTCCTGCATCCCTCCACTACAGCGCACAAGGCTCCTGGTATAGAAGAGTCAGTCCTGGTCCAGCCCGCAGAAGAGACTAAATCACATCTACAGCCTGAGGGCACTCAAAAAAAAAAAAGGTGTGAAACCTTCCCAAGTTTTTGCTGCCACAGCTAAATATTCACCAGCCGCTCACTCTTTTAGCCCCTTCCAGCCAAGGCTGCAAGTCCGACCTCCCAGGTTAAGGGTAATCGGCCACCAGAAACTGATACCAGCACAGGGATTATTTTTTTTTTCCTCCGAAGATCTGCTCAGGGAACACAAGGTGAAAGTTGAAAAAACAGCAAGTGCACACAGGCACAGCCTGTTATAAAACCCAAAGTGCTGGCAGAGGGATACGTAGCTTTTTTTAGGAGAGTTTTAGGGGTCCAGGCTCTTCCGTGGCAGTGCTGCTGTATTTTAATGCAGAGAGCACTAGATCCTGTGGCAGAGGCAAGCATCAATTAATTCAGTGATTGAAAATGGCATGTAAACAAGCCTGTGTAAGCAAGACCTAGCTTGGGGAAGGCGTGCCTGGAAAGCAAGATTAAGAAAAAGTAATAAGAGCCTTAAATTGAAAATAAAGTCTTTATATGGGGCATGAAGGGCTAGCTGAAGCCGAGAACTTTTCACATCATTAAGATGCCTGCTCAGAAATACTGTCACAGTTGTTACATCTTGCATGATTACAACGGTGTGACAATAGAGATGGGGAAAACGCAGCACCGGGGCTCACAATGTTAGTGCAAAAGCCGCACCGCACTCAGGAAGGGTTTGTCAAGCAGCGCCAGCCATTGCAGATGTCAAAAGCCAGACCATCGCCTCTGCAGCCACAACAGGGACGGGGAAGGTCAGGGACACCAGATCAGAGCGCGGAAGAGAGCATCTCAAAGAAGAGTTACTCATTTAGCGGCAGTAATTGAGGAAAATGTTGTTGCTCAGGTTGGCCGGGCTTCGAAGCTGCCCCGTTTGAAAACAGACTGCAAGACTCTGGTATGTGAAAACTCCCATCTAGCCCCAAAATTCCTGCAAGAGGAGGAGTTATGACTTTGCTGTGAAAGTTCAAGCTCTGGTTGCTGTAACAGCCCAGCTCAAGGTGTAAAGCTGTGCTCTCCAGTGTTTGCAATCCCACAGCCACCCGTGCCACCGTCTCATTACAGTGCAAAATACTTGAGCAAGGCTTTTCCCAACCAGTCCCACACCAGTCATTATCTTGCTTCGTTTCACCAGCGCTTAGTCATTCTCTCACTTGGTGCAAGCAATCTCAACTCCCACGTGAATGGTTCAGCACCGTCTGTACGGGAGCATCGCCTTGAGCAGACGCAGGGGTAAAACCGAGACGCTAACAAATATCCAGACTCAGATACCCCAGCAGCTTTCAGAGACATTTCTGCCTTGCTGACCAGCTTGAGACCACCTGACAGTGGAAAAAAGGCCTCAAAACAGCTGCATGTACAGCCTACAGCTACTTTAAACTCCCCAGGAGCCAGAGTTGTGAGTGAAAGGCTGTCCAGTTTTGGAAAGAGCTTGGTCCCCAGCCTAGCAGGTGGGCAGAGGACCACATGCATCTCCATACACAAGTGCACAGAGCTTCAGAGCAGACATTAGAGGCAGTTTGCTTTAAAGAAAAGAAGTTTGTGGCCATCATAACAGTTTAATTTTCAAAGACTGAAAGTTTCAGGTGTATTTTCCCAGGTGCCATCCATAGCATGCTAGAGCCTCTTACACTCCTGCCTATGCAGCATGTGGAGGTCTGCAAGACTCCCAAGACAGATGGAAATACCTGGCTAAGGGAAAAACAACCCATTTCCCAGTAGCAGGGTGCCACAGCAAGCCACAAGAAGGGAAATAGTTTGTGATCTCTCCATTACCAAGATTTGCAGGCATGTCAGCTGTCTGCAGCCCAGCTTTGTAGGGATGCAGGTAACTGGAAAAGCAGTTGGGCAGCACCTTGAGGATCAGATCACCTGCTCCTCGAGGTTTGCTGGTTATAGAGTAAGATTTCTCGTCCCCAGAGACCCTCACTCACCTGAAGAAGCCCTTGCAGCCTTCGCAGGTCATGGCATTGAAGTGAAAGCCAGTGGCTCTGTCCCCACAGACACCACAGATACGGGGCACGTTCCTGTCAAACTCGCCGGCTGGGTCGGGAAGCGATGTGCTAGCAGCCATGGTCTCCATGTCTGGGAGAGCAGAGAAAGCCAGGTATTTACTGTGTAAAGCTGTCACAGCTTTACAAAAAGCAAATTAGATGCAAATAAAGGATTTTTCCTTGGCTTCAACACGATTTGGCAAGAGAAACTTCTGTGTTCCCTTTGGCTCTCTGCACTACCACCACCAAAAAGCAGGTTCTAGCTAGTTTTTAGCACACATGCACGCACATTTGCTCATCTACCCAGTAAAACTAGGACTGATCCCCCTCCTTCCCATACCCCCAGCCTTAAACACACCACAGAACACGCTCACAGTAGTTTGCTGTGGGAGAAGTCCTATAGCCCATCCCAAATCCAGATCGTTCCCCTCCCCTCACTCCTTCACTTTTGCTTTCAGAAAGCCTTGAAGGGACCAGAATTCACCCAGATCGATGCTGCAAAAACCACAAAAAAAAACACACCGCCCGTACGCTGGCGCAGAATTTCCCTTGTGCACAGACAGGAAGCAGCATCGGCACACTCACGCCAGCTCCCGTAAGTGAGAAAAAAATCCCAAACGCAAGTCAAGTGAACATCGTTTAAAAAAAATCCTCAACAGGGTTGTAAACAAGGGAGGGAGGAAATAGTGCTCCTAACGCAGATCGCTGAAATGAATATTAAAATGGGGCTTTTAATAGACTTTTCCCAGCTTACAATACCCACCAGCAGAAGCCTGTCCTGCTATTAGAAAGACCAAGTGTCCAAAAGCACCGGGAAAATAAAGGTTAGAAGTTTTCATGGTGCCAAACCTTGGTAAAGAGCACACCAAGGCTGCGGTTTCCGCTGGCACCATCCAGTAGTTCGGTAGGACAGGCTGTGTTTGTAGCTCAGCTTTACCCTGCGAGTTCTGAGCAGCTCCTGTGCCTCAGTCTCCCCATACACAGAACAGAGTTACCCCTTCTGTGCATCTCAGGAGGAGAAATTTTAAATTGATTCAAGCGGTTCAAACAAGCTTTTTTCGTTGTTTTAAGCATGGCTAAATGTTTTATCAAGAGGCACTGTACATAGCTGCTGCCTAGCTGCATCTAGTCTGCTTTCGAAAGGTTTTTAGCTGGTGCTGGAACTGTCTTATGTAAAATACTCTTTATCAGTATTTTTATATATGGATATATATCAGTATACATCCATAACTCCAGGCAGTGAGTCCAGAGCAAAAACGAGCTCAGAAAAAAGCAAGAGGACAACACTACAATTTAAGCCTTGCGGTAAGTCTATCAGACTGCTCTTGCTTGACCCCAGTAGAGACTGGACTCTTCTTGATCCCCTGCCAGGGGACAGCAGCTCTGTAGAGTTTGCAGACAAAGCCCAAAAGCCCTACGGCCGGCAAGTGATGTCCCCGGAGTACTTAGGGATGCACAGCTCCCAAAGCAACTCCAGGAGCCTGGGGTTTTCTCTGATCTTTGTTTCACCCATACTTCACCTGAAATTTAGGGCAACCGACAGTCCTAGCACCTTTAGATAGGAGCCCTACTCATCTATGCTGCTTGGAGAAAGCTCCAAGGCAAAAAGACAGACACAACCCCAAGGAGAACGTCCTCTGCACAGAGGAGGGTTATTATTTACCTGTATCTGGAAGATACGCCATGCTCTGCTGGTGCATTTCCCAGGAGCTCTGGAGCTGGGACATCAAGCCACCTGCAATTAAAAAGACAGACAGGACACGGTCTGAGACAGCTCAAAACTTATCGAGGTCGATGAGTCAAAAGAGAGCGTCCGACTGCATGCCCCGGTCATGGCTCGCTCCGGCCCCTCGATGAGACGTGAACACCGTGCCCAGGGTGGGGTGATCTCGAAATAGCCTGCCAGCTCCAGTACCACTTGTCTGGTTCCCACACCACCTCCTCACCGCGGATCCGAGAGAAGATATTGCAATGCCCTGGCCACCCTCCACGTGCCGGTGGGTTGCTAAGGGAGCCGGAGGAACGCACCGACGAACACAGCAGCCACCCTCGGCGAGAGCAAGGGCACAGGAAGGAAAGAAGAGAGCGAGAGGTGCTCAGCTCGTTCCTTTCACCTCAGTAATATTTTCCTATAAATTTAAATTTCACAATTCAGCCCGTCAAGCGCGCAGCAGCGTGAGACCCGCCGGCTTGCGTGGGATGGCATAAAGCAGAGCTGAATGGCTGCTATAAATGTGGGTCCTCATTCGACGGGGCATGCATGCTCAAAGTCAATGGGATCACTGCAGCGCTGAGTACGTGGAGGTTTTTTTTCCCCTCCCTTCTTGTGTCATTTTATTCTTCCAGCAGCTCTGCTCATGGATGGGAAGCACCACATTGGCACCAGACTAACATGGTGTTGGGCCAAAGCAAGGAGAGCTGAGGATGCAAACCACGTCCCACGGTTGGGCAGCTCACAAAACATGTCTCCAGACCAGAGGGTTTCTTTTCCCTCCAAGTGCTGCAGGACGGTGCTGCAGTCACCAAAGGTCACGTCAGAGGCGAACGGTCAAGAGCAGCACTTGGGGATCTCCCTCTGGAAAAGCAGCGCATGGCAGAGCTTCTGGATCCAGGATAAGCCCGACTCACCCGTGCTTGGCAGAAACCTGCTCAGGCCAGCTCCCAAGTACCCTGCCGAGCATCCGCCTCCGTCCCACCAGGTTTTGAGGTCTGCAGGGGGAAGTAGGGCGCAGGCAGCCCCGAGCAGGCTCGCCATCCTGAAGGGCTGGATTCCAGAAGTGCCGACAGCCACCGCGTACCAGGCCATGGCAAAACACCCACCGAGCACCCAAACTGGAAGCTGTTCCGTGGGTCATGTAGGGCACCTCTCTCTCTCCAGCAAGCAACAGGGCTGCTTTTGGGTGAAGACCCTTGTGGAGACCTCCACAAACCTTCTCCCTGCCATCCATACATCCTGATGCACCGTTTAATACTCCTCCAGTGTTTTGTGTTGCTCCCTGCTCTACCACACCTTCCCAGGACCATGCATGGGGATGCCGACACCTCCAGCATCACGAGGAAGATGGGGAAAGCAGGTGCTGATGGCAACCAGTGAACCTAGGAAGGGTGTCCCCCCACCCTTGACATGCCTCTTGCTTTTCTCCAGCATCTGTGCCAGATGCAATTCCCACATGGATGACACTGCTGCTTCAACCTACCATCTCTGACTTCTTGGAAAACGTTACTCAGCCTCATAATGAAAATGACGTCGGTGTGCAGGGTGGAGCATGCATTGGAGTTTCCCTCCACCCCCATGAAAGGCTGCTCATTCATCAAACCTGACATTTAGCCTTCACCTCTTGGAAGAAGCAAAATAATTTGTGTTAGAAGTACTGACCTCTTTCAAGCAGGCACCAGAAAGGTCAAACCAGTTTTGTAGCTGGTTATAGAAAAGTTGCGGCAAACCACTTGTTACCCCAGTAAAGCCCCAGGGTTGGCTCTGAGTAGCCATGCTTTGCTAAATCTAAGGTTTCCCACCACCTCATTCCCAAGGCACCAAATCCATGTATAGGTCAGAAAATTTCAACTTTCAGATGATCCTTTTTTGGGGTTTGTACGGAGCTGTCGCAGCAACAAAGCTCAAATAGCTACAAGATGCTGGCAGGGATGGCTCCGTGATTGTAATTAGCAATCAGAGCCCTCCACTGGGATGCTGCCAGATGAGGAAGCAGCACAGAAGCCACCACAGTCAAAGTTTAAAGACATGGGAAAAGCTCACCTGCAGGAGACACCGAGAGAGAACAGCACAAATAAGCCAGGTGACTGCCGTGCAAAGGGCTTGCAGTCGGTAGCTCAGCTCTAGCCCCCCTGCCAGCAGCTGTTATTTAGGCCAGGGTTGCGATAGATCCCTCGTACCTGGGAAGCCGGGAGGATGTGGCAAGGCAGAAGCAAGAGCTCGTTCCCCCTGCACACCCCTCCCTGCCTTACCCAGAGGGCTGACTCACTTCTGCTGGCCACCGGTGCCCGGAAGACCCAGCCCGAGGCAATGCCATGCCTCCCTCTCGGTACATCCCTGCGGCACAGCCGGCCCGTCTCCCACTAGCGTGCTATGGACCAGTGACGCAGCCCTCGCACACGCAGAGCCTCCATCGCTGCAACTGGAAGAGTCATTAACCTCAAGCAGGAAACGTCTCCAGCTCTGCCTGACTAATCGCAGCCTCACGGATGTGGATCGGGGGTAGGCGGCAGCTTCCCAAAGCAGGTGGGTGATGGCAAAGTGTGGACGGAGCCACACGCTGCTGGCCGAGAGCCCTGCGTGAGCAGCGGTTCAACAGCTGTGCTCAGGGAAAGCAGCACACAGCCAGGAAGCTAAAACACATCTATTAGAAGCAAAACAACTGTACAAAGAGGAAGGCATCCTCTAGAGGGGTTTACCATTCCCCAAACATAACCCAGTTTAAAGGAAACTGGGCAAGTCATCCTGAAATTAGTGTAATAGGCATTGAAACCATAGCCCAGTGACCGTGGGGTGGCTGCACCAGCCCTGGGACCTCTGGTGTGGGGCACAGGAGGGGCACCTGTGCTGCGGGGCAAGAAATGGGAGCATGGGACGTTGCCTGCCCGTAGAGGGAAATGGGCACAGCGCCTGCTCTTCCTCCTTTACGCTGAGCCCAAAGGAGGATCCTTTGCTTTTAAGTCTGTATTTATTTCTAAGTGCCCTCAGCCACCACTCAGAAACTGGTAGAAAGTATTTTGCTGAAGCGTTTTCTCATGCTTTATCACTTTCCTTTTTCCTCTCGCCAAAAACTCACAGCTCATCGGGACTTGGCAGAAGGGAAAAGGCTTTGGCGGACGATTGCTCCCGCTGAAAGCCTTAGTCACTCACATTCGGTGTCTGCACAGCGGGAGGTTTCCCTCCCAGCATCGCAGCACCAAAAATGCCTCCTTCATTCCACCAGCCACAGCAATAGCCAGAGCTGGGCTTAATACATAAGCTAAGACAAATCCAGAGCCCAAACCCAGTGCCGGAGGCTGATGGGGGACTGGTTGTGGGGCTGCTGCTCAGAAGTCAGCCAGGCTTCAGATGCCTCATGCTTCCCTGATGCACAAAGACAGAAATCCATTTTAACAAGAACATCCAGCATAAGAAATACCTAGAAGGAAGACCAGGGCTTTGTCCGGCCAAGGATGCGAGGCTACGGGTTTGTATTCAGCCAACTGCTCCCCAGGAGGTTCAGGCTTTGCTGAACTTTCGAGGAGAAACCAAGCCAGTTAAGGAACAGCTGAACATTCCCAGAAAACAAGAGTGACATTTCATTAAAGAGGCTTTGAAGTCTTTGGTGTTTTGAGACTACCATCGTTAAACATTTTCAGGATGCAGAAAATAAACTGTTACAATACTGTGAAAGTATTTGTCACGTTCTCAGTATCTTTGTTGCTCCATCAAAATGGATTTTTTGGTTAATTTATTCGCCAAGCAAAACAAAACCAAACCACTTTACCCACATGGCCTGAAAGGAACAGGCTGGTTTCTGAAGTCTAAGTAAATCCTCACCCCTGGCACTGCTCTGACTTGCTACTGAAGACTCTGCTAAGTCTTGGAGAGACCCATTCCTTTACGCAGAGGTTTTACTATTTTCCTGGCTTGCGCTCAATTAACACCACTGTTGACATGTCAAAACAAAACAATGCTCCACAGAGTCTCTGCAGAGCCTCTGGCAACGCACTTGCATTTTAAGAAGCTTTTTTCCCCCCCAGTACAAATCAGCCTATTCATAACATCTTGTTGCGGCATGCGAGCAACCCCTTTCTCTATTAAAAAAGACAATTAAATAATTTCCTTCTGTAGCTCCAGGGAGCCCTGTTATTTAGCTGCTTTCCATGACATTTATTAGACAGCAGCTTGACAGCTTCCCGGGAAGACTAAGCACTGCTCCCGCACAAGCCCGGCACCAGCCCATGCCTGGATGGTTGCTTTCCATGTTGCACATGGATGGATGCAGCAGGTGAAGCTCCCTGCGCCGCTGCATCCTTGGATCCCTCTTGCCACCGCTCACCTCCATTTCTCGGTTGGAAGAACATTTATTTTTGCAAGACCCAGGGTGGCTGCAACCTCCTGGGAGCTGGGCAAGGAGATCTGGCAAGCCTGGCAGTGTCATGAGACCAGCAGCTATTTATTACCTGATGCAAGTCAGCTCATGCCACCCCTTCCTCCATTAATTTGATTAGATGTAAAACCCTCTGCTAACACCCCCAGACCAAGGCTGGAGGCTCCTTCATGCCAGGCAACACGTAAGGATGACAATTCCTACCCCGGAGAGCCCAGACACTCCCAGTCTGCAAACATGTCACTGCAGCGAGGCATTCAGAAGAGGGTCCAGCAGTGTGACAACTGAAGGGGCTACAAATATTGGTTTCAAGAAGGTCAGGGAGACTTGGAAATCCCTCTCTGGGGAACAGGATGTTAATCTCACTCATTGTGAGGAATCAGGCACTTACGGGCTCCCTAAACACTTTGTGGTGTGGGAGTGAGCAAGCCCAGGGACACGCTGAACTCAATTACAGGCACCAGTGCTCCCCAGTAAGGCGGTTAGGAGCAGACATCCGAGCAGCCATGTCCCTGGCAGCAAGGCTGAGAAAACAAAAAAGCATTGACAAAGCAAGACCAGGTCTGCTCTCAGCCTGGCGGCCGTCACACCAGGACCCCACACCTCCAGCATCACAGAGCATCTTTGCCATCGCATCCAGA